TCATTGATAAAGTGATCTACAGATATCGCAAAATGTCCTTTTGCACATGTTCTCCGTATATTGTGCCTCTTTTTTTGTGTGTCTTCCTTGCATGCTTTCTATGTTATTTCATACAAAGATTTTTCATTTCTCCTTTTCTGCATTTCATTCATTTTTCTGTTATTAAAATGGACCTTGACGCACTTTTCGATTACTACGCTACATTTACTTACATACATAAAACTCTTGTTTCTGTGCGTTTTGTTGCCAAGATGTTGTGGAACTTATATTAATTATTTGCCTTTCGAACACTGAATCTGTGGATATAATCTTGTTGACCGATGATACCTATAACTATCTGTTAGCAATTTTTGTGACTGTTTAACACTAACTAATATCTATAATTGTATATTTGATGGATTTACATGTCCAAGTCGGCTCAAGTCAATGAGTCTGTGATTTTGGTATCATTTTTTTAAACTGTATCTGACTGTGATACTACTGTTTAGGTTTTTTTGTTGTTTCCCTTCCTGTTGTGAATTGTTTTCCTTTTGCTGGTGTTCTATTGATGCTTTATTCCTTGTTTTCCTGGTTTTAAGGGGAGCAACCCATAAGGTCGCTTCTCTCTAAACTATATTTTAATGTAAACAATCCCCTTCTCAGACGTGAGGCTAGCAACCCCACCCTGTAAACAAAGCTGCTACAGAAACTTCAGCACGATGAAACTCCTTGCGCCAAAAAAAGAAGTCTGTGTGGGGACATGGAATGTCCGCACCATGTACGAGACTGGCAAAGCTGCCCAGATCGCAAACGAAATGAAAAGATACGGAATCCAAGTATTGGGAATATGTGAAAGCAGATGGAACGGAAATGGACTCACAAAATTGTCAACAGGAGAGTCAGTGATCTACTCCAGTCAACAGCACTCAGCATGAAAATGAAAATAAGATCCGGATTTTCAACTCCAATGTGGAGTCGGATCAGAGACTTGGCGCGTCATGAAGACCACTTCAAACAAACAACAGACCTTCATCAACAGCTGTCTTCGCTTAATACTCAAGATCAGGTGGCCGGCCAGAAAAGATTAGCAACAGAGATCTCTGGGAGCGAACCAACCAGGAACCGATTGTGAAACAAATAGGCAGGAAGAAATGGAGATGGATTGGCCATACTCTGAGGAAACCATCAAGTGACATCACTAGACAAGCCCTTGAGTGGAACCCGAAAGGGAAGCAGCGAGTTGGTCGTCAGTGTGAGGGTGACTTGGAGGAGGTCATGTGAAGAGGAGATGAAATCGTGTGGACAGACTTGGAGTCAGGTGAAGACTCTAGCAGAGAACAGAAAGCAATGGAGACGCACGGCTGAAGCCCTATGTTCTTCTAGGAATTAAAGGAAATAATAATATAATAATTATTCAATATTTTTGCAGAAGACATCACACACAATATACTACTTACAAAATCTTGTCAATAGCACTCGCCACACCATAATAAAACTAAAATTCCTGTTTGTTATACCTTATGTCAACTAATGGCATGCAACTGGAGATGGTGTTTTTCTTTTTGTCTTTTACGTATTAACTTCAGTTGTCACTGCTTCTTCTGTAATATTGTGTAACATTAGAATTGTAAGTCAGGTGGTAAGTTGTAGTCATTTTATGATATACAGCAGGTTTGTATGATGTAAAAGAAGGCAAATGATAATGGTGCCATATTAGATTAGTTTATTTGATATAATACAGTGCATAGCTGGTGATCAAATCAGTTTAGTCACACTGCTTCATGATTTGCTTTGTATATGTACTTTTCTCCCTCTTCCCCTTGTTGTTTATTGCCACTCTCCATATTTCCGGTATAGGCATTGCGTCGTTCCGATTGTACGTGATCGGTGTTGAATCGATAAACAAAGCTTCAATGATGAATCTCTCTCGTCACCTAATTATATTACTCTTTAATACTTTCACCCTGTCCTACCCACCCTATTGTTTGATTACATACAAGTGAATGCAATGCAGTGGCTAAGCTTTTTTTTCTAGGTTATTTAGCAGGGTCAGTCATCCTAGATGTAGCTAAATTTTTATGTTCCAATTAACTGACTGACTTTTTTCAGCTATATAATTAACCTCACAGTCAGTATTATATGGTATTTGGTAAATTGTATTATTTTTCTTAATTGGGTCCTTAAGCCGACAAAATTCATCTCTGAGAAAGTTTGGCAATTGGTTGGTTTAAATGCCACCCTAAGATCAGACTCATTGAGAATTCTATGTAAGGCCTCTGATGTCCCTTCTTTATACTGCTGTACTATAGAGAGTTTGAATTCTATATTATTTTTGTTAATGCCATCACTATGAAGAGTCCAAAATTAGGACGAAACAGCTGTCCAGTGCTCCCAGCTAGTTTTTTAATGGTTCTCTAAATGATGTCAGCTCATCATGAAATCCTCCAACCAATAAAAAATCTCTGCAAAACAAATACTTAAATATTTAAAATAAACTACTTATCCTACCACTGCGTGCAATTTCTACACTTACATAAAATGACAATAGTGCCGTTATATTTTCACCTATCATTTTCACTATATTCGGTGTTACTCGCTTCAATTTACTCCCAATCCTATACTCATTAAAAGTTTGAGTACTAATCCAAACTTCGATTATTATCCTAGAGTTGTATTCATAGGCCTTGATTACATTGTTTACTGTAATTTTAGCCGCAGAATACAGAAGTATTTGGTATCAAAGTTATTTGTTTAAGTGAATTTCTGATTTTCTCACTAACTGAAAGGACGGAAATGTTCATCCTGTATTGACATGTGTCGGCTGCTAATACGGACGCTTTAACGATGTCTGAGGATTAACTTGAAGTAAATCAGTGGGGAGGTGATTAACAGGTTGGTGTCAAAGATGTGCATTTCATCCTGCACTCCCCTCAGTGAGCGATGTTGTTCTCACGGAGACTCGAAACCAGTACTCATCGTTTCAAACACGAAGACATTGTCCACTTAAACCACTTAGGCCACGAAAACCACCTGTTTGTGCAACAGCCATCATTTATTATCTGTTTAACTGAATTTTTAAATTTCCTATCGACTGGAAGGACAGGAATGTTCGGCCTGTGTTGACATATGTCGGCTCCTAGTACAAAATATACATCCTGGATTCCAGTGCTAGTTACCATCCACCACCAAATTACTTCATGATGCCAGAGTTTCGCTCAGATTGTGACCAAACCTGTAACCAATCAAATCCCTGCAAATCAACACTTGATCAATAATTAATAATTGATATTCATCATTAATTTTACAATGATACATTATATATATATATATATTATATATATATATAGTGTAAAAAGAAAGGCCAATACACATGTGTTAACAATATTTTTTTAAGGCACACACTTCTTGTGAATTTCAGCAGCATTAGGAGCTTGTGGAGCAGGAGAAGGGCGGGGCGGGGGGTGGTAGGGGAGACTGTGTAGCTAGGGTAGTTTACACGATAATTAATTATTATGTGAAAATGATTCAAAAGTACAAAATAAAAATAAATAAATAAAGACGGTGCAGGGGGGGCGGGAAGGGGAAATAAACAAGATGTAAAATAGGACATTACAGAAATTAGTAGTATCATGTAATATTAGTAATATTATTCATATGCATATGGAAGCCATTTGTCATGTGAATTAAAAGGGTGGGGAGGGGGGAATAAAATACACAACAATTACAATAACAACAACAAAACGCCAAAAAGATACTAACTAACAACTGGTTTTGAAAATTTAAAAGAAAGCATAACTGATCACAAAACAGCTAATTGAGATCAACGTATAGTGTGTATTGACAATTGGTTAGTTAGTTGGCTTAATCAAAAAAAGTTACAAATAAATAAAAGAAAGGGATTAAACTGTTCACATGTACACTAACACACACACACATCGAAATCATTTTAAAAACCAAAAAAAACAAGATGGAGATCATTGTTGTCAAAAGATAAAATAAAAGTAAACAGCTGTGAATTAGTCAAAAACAAAAAAAGAAAAAGAAAATAGAGGAATACAAACAACACTTTGTTCAATATCTCATCACAGATTATTATTATTTCTGAGTTGTTGGTACTGATGTCAATATAATAATAATAATTATTATTATTATCATCGAGAAAGGCTTGTCTGCCTACTTTCAAAAAAATATATAAACTGATCACTTATACACGTACATAAAAGGAAGGGTATACGAGAAAGTTTCCAAGCTTCATTCTTTCTCTCTCTATGAGGTACGTAATCGGATTATCTATTAAACATGTTTAATGTATATATATGAATGCATGTATGAGGAGAATAAAAACTCACATACATACACACACAAACAATTTCTAATAAGGCTTTTTATCATGTAAAATGTATAAAAACAGAAAAGAAAACAAATAGAGAAGGAAAAAAGAGGGTAGTTGGAAGGTAGTTAATGAGCAGTGAAAATAATCTCTAGTCAATCACTATTCTCTACAATCTATCATTATTATTTTCATTCCTATTGTTTATGTATATAATATTTTGTTTTAATGAATGCGAAATTCGCTCCCGCGCCAAATTTAATTTTGGTTGCTTGATGATTGTATATGCATTTTTGTTGTTGTAAGAGTCATATTATGTGCAATAAAATTTTCATTTCTCTCTGTGTTTCATGTATTTATTTATTTTTTACATAACCCTATTAAGATATAGTAGTAACTTGGGTAAGTGTGTGTGTGCACGCGCAAGCGAGCGTAATATGCTGCTGCAAAAAAGTGTGGGCGAGGACAATGATCAGGAGAATGAGAATGAGTCAGTGCGCTGTAGGAATGAATGAAATGATCAAATTTTGAAAGAATAAAGTAAAAGGCAACACACATCTACACGCACACATACATATAAACTATAAAAAAAACACACAAGACAAAGACAGAATAATTAAAAAATAAATAATTAAAAACAGAAAAAAAAGAAAGAAGACTAGTAGTTGTCAATTCTATATATGCCTTTTGATTAAGTGTTTACCACCTCAGTTGTTGACAATGATGAATCAGTTGTATCAGAAATAAGTTTCTCGCCACTGTCATCTTTACTATTATTTAACTGATTATATCGTACATATTGATGATGTGGATTTGTACTGTTCAATGGAATAGCTGTAGTTATTATTGATTGAGGTGTTGAATTAATTATAATACAAGGTGGAGGAATATGTGAATTGATTGTTTCTCCGGTGCTTAGCCGATGTACACGTCCACTGTGTAAATTACCATTTGATGAACAAATTGATGATTTATAATATGGAGTATATGAATTATTATTATTGTCATTAGACGTCGCCGTAGTATTAATCGCCGTTGTCGTAATAGTAGGAGCAGTATCAGTAGTAGCAATAGCGGAATCATTATTTAACTCTCCTCTATCAGTGATGAATTTACCAATATATGATATATTATTGTCTTTATTACTATGATTATTCATTTTTGACCTCAATGAGATTTGTTCCGCGCGTATATCATCATCATCGTCGAAATCATAATCATCCTCATCATCATGATCATCGCGTTGAGTGTTTCCACCATTTGGAGGATTGGGAAGGTGTCGATTATGACGATTATTACTATTATTATTACTATTATTATTATTGTTGTTATTTAACTGAGCTAACTGTCTAGCTTTACGCTTCTTTGTAACAGATGTTACAATTTGTTTACTTCTTTTCCCCTCTGATTCATCATTACCACCACTTCCAACAGTAACACCAACATGATTATTATGTCGTCTACAACATGAACAATAGACAGCTGCAGCAGCAGTAGAACAATGTTGATGATAATAATGTCGATATCGACGACGTGATAATATAAAATGTACTAGAATAAATATTAACAATACTGTAATTATAATAAGGCATATAATAAATAAGACTAGACGAGATGGTTCTTTTGTAAATAATTCCCATAATGATTGATGCTTTTTATTGACTTCTTCTAGAATATAACCACTTTCTCCAGCACCGATTTCATCCCCGCTAAGACAAACCACTGGATATATTATAATTAACAAAGAATAAAAAAAAGATGAAAAATCAATAAATTATAGGAGAGATTAAAAAAGAAATGATAAGTATAATGTAACCAATACTTGAATACTAATCTGATACACACTAGTGGCTGACTGTATTCAGGTAGGTAGTCACCTGGGTTCCAGTGGGATGCCGTGACCAGTGGGGTTCAGGATGTTGGGTGTGAGGACAAATACTCGCCAGCGATGACACTGGTTAGTAGTCACGCTATGTTGGGAATTGGCAGAAGTAGGAATTCATGAACGATTGGATCGAGTCTCAGTGGCTTAATGTTCTACGAGCTTGCCTTATAACCGGAAGGTCATGGGTTCGAACCCCAGTGGGTGGCTACTATGAAGAGTCCGAAGCACTAGGACGAAACAGCTATCCAGTACTCCCTAGTAGTTTTCCGCTGGTTCTCTAACCGATGTCAGCTAATGATAAAATTCTGTGACCAATCAAATCCCTGCAAACCAACGCTTGAATATAAATATAATTAAAGTGAGTATTTGTCCGCCAATCACCATCAACGGGAGGGATTTGAAAGAGGTTACTTCATTCACTTATCTAGGGAGAATTGTCTCAACTACAGAAGGAACGGACAAGGATGTCAAATCAAGAATCAGGAAGGCGAGAAACACATTCATCAACCTGAAACCAATCTGGAAATCTTCGTCACTCAACTCAGCATCAACAACAAAATTCGGATTTTCAATACAAACGTCAAGTCAGTCAGTTCTTCTATACGGATCAGAAACTTGGCCAGTGTGTCACAAAGAATATTTCCAACAGCCTGTTGCAGACCTTTATCAACAACTGTCTTCGCTGGCTCTATACTGAAGATCAGATGGCCGGAAAGAACAAGAACCAACAAGAAACTATGGGAACAAACAAAACAAGAACCAATCGCTCAAGAAATATGCAGAAGAAAGTGGAGATGGATTGGACACTCGCTGAGGAGACCTCTGGGTGACATCGCGCGTCAGGCCATAGCTCGAGTGGAACCCGAAAGGGAAACGGCGAGTGGGACGTTCAAGGGTGACATGGAGGAGATCGTGTGAAGAGGAATTGGAACAGTATGGACTAACATGGATGCAAGTGAAAAATACAGCAGAAGACAGAAACAAGTGGATACGTGCAGTTGAAGCCCTATGTTCCACTAGGAACCCAAGGGAACAAGAATAATATAATAATTTGTCAGATTCTTAGTTCATGGTCAAACATCACCAGTCAGACCGAGTTATTTTGTGTGTTTACTCCTTCGCGTTCCGAGAGGAACATAGGGCTCCAAACTGGAGTTTCAGTAGCACTGATTTTTATTTTTCTTACGGGGTGGGATTGCTAGCCTCATATCCAACCCTCCCTCTTTACTGGGCTTATATAGCGGCTAACTGAGGTTGGGCAGTGTGTTGGCCGGGGATTGAACCGTGGATAAAGTGAGGAATGAGCACATCAAGCTCAAGTACTTGACCAGTATCCAGGTGGTTTGAACAATTTCGCTTTCTAGACTAAATCACCCTGGACACACTATTATTGAGTCTAATCATAGAGGAGTGAAGCAGTCATCCCAGCTGACACGGGAGACTTCGAACTTCTCCTACTCGGCAGAACTATTTATAATTCAAAAACAGGTATACCTGAATTGTGATTACTTTGAGTAGACAACTGTTTCTGAAAGTTCTGTTACTTGAGCAAACATATTTGGCGTTCACGTTGGTATAAAATTACAGCTGATACTTTTAAGTTTTACAGTAGCATAATAACCAGGTAGTAGTACAATTTACAGTGAATACTTGGAGCTAAACAGTGATTAAGTGTTTGGATAATCCCTCCTAGGCGATCTAATTGCAATATTAATACTTATTTGGATATTTCAAATAACTTTGTAATTGTTTTCCTGTTTTCGCCTTGGCTATAATATAACATAATTGTTCTAACGTTTGCAAATCACCCCTATTGACCTAATATTTATAATTTATCTTTGCTCTTGTGCAGTCCCTAATTTAAACGCTTCTCTTTGCAGTTGTCTCATGGTGTTGATAATGTTTTATTGTTATGACCGGAACTACGGCCTAGTAGACTATGAGCGAATACTAACTTAATGCGCAGGCTAATCTGTCCTAATCGCACGTCAACAACACCAACAACAATAACACAGCCGGGAAGCAAAGACAAAAGAAAACACTGGACGCCGTTATTAGTGCTTTTACTATCTCAAATAACAGAAACTCTGTATATATAGTCAGAATGACCTTGAAAGTGCAGTAATTCGGTGATGCGTTAAAAGTATTAACAGCCAATAGGAATCCAGCAATCCAAACAGCGGGAAAAACAAAGGACTCACATCAATGCGCGATAACTACTTGAAATAGTTATTGTAAGGTTTTAAGCAAAATTAGGTGAGACTAGGTGTATATTAACGTTTCTTTACTTGAAAAGAGTCACGGTTGGCCGTAGGGATTTTCACCTTGGACTATCTGTGAGTAGTATTTGGTGCGTGATTCTTGCTGACATGGTTTTGACCCTCCACCATGTTGTTGGAAATATTCTACTTGGTTCTCAGTACTTGTTTTGTACTGAAAAATCAACTAATTTATATAGCTGTCTAAGGGGATTGTTGAATAACTCGGATTTCACTGCAAATAACTGTCTTTTTACTGTCATTATGATATTTTCGAACTGTGCGTAACTCAAGAAAGTTTTGGTTAGCTATACAATAGAAAGCAAAGATTGGTTTCCCATGATCAGACTACAACACACCGGCTTTGGTCGCTACAATAATTCTTTCAAAACCTTCAAGTTTCATCATTACTCTGTTTGAAAATGTCAGTTGAGAGTAGAGTAGAGTGGAGTTTTTGGTTGGGGGTGATTAACAGTGGAATCCAGCATGAGCATTTCGTCTTATTTAGGATTCGTCAGCTGGATGTACCTGTAATCTCCACCCACCAAATAACATCGTGGTTATCCTTAGAGATTATCGAAGCATCCGTACTAGGAACTGAAATGTCAAGAGAGATGGAAAATTCCCGTTCACTACAGTCTGTGATAAACAAGCTCGCCTCGTAACCTAAAGGTGCTTAATTCTACCTCTGGTGGGGTTATGCGTACCTACTGAGGAGAGTCCTAAACTAGGACGGAACACCTATCCAGTACATCCTGGCTTTCAGTCCTCCGAAAAGAGCCTCTTCGTTGAACAACTTGTTTTCTCATTAATACCTAGATATGGATTATTCATGAAATTAATAGACTGACAATACAATACAAAACTTACATTTATCAGCAACACAGAACATGCATTGTCTAGGATCACGACTAGTTAAGGCTAATCGATAAGGACAACATACGAGACATTGTCCAGAATTCGGTTCTACACTCAACTGATCAGGTGGCCATATAGCTAAGTCTTTAGAGGTTCTATGCAATTTTGAAACACGTTGATTTGTTAATAAACATCGAGGAACTGGTGGCTTCCGATTACAACTAGTACATTGGTATGAACGAGGACCAGAGCAAGTTCGACAATTGGAATCGCATGGACGACATATCTGCAGGCGAAAAAAGGGGAGAAATAGTCAGAAAAATGGGCCTTAATTAGTTGAATAATAATAATAATATATATTTATTTCTGTCTTTACAGGAGAACACCAATTGTATAGGAATGAATAAGTGTTGTTTAAATTACATAAATATGGTCTATGGTGAATTTGCATGGTTGCTGTTCTTTATGACTTTAGTTTGTGGGAACAATCTGCTAACTAGTCGTTCAATGGAGCATATTAAGATGTATAGAAATACTGTCTTCGCATTAAGAAAAAACCCAAGTCTGTGTTCGATGGATCACGAATACTTGGGAAAAAAATAAAGCTTGGAGTCCATTCTCCCATATAGCTGTGTTGTGTACGGCATCGAATCTTATTGGTTACAGGACTTCATCACTGGGTTCGAACCCCGGTGGGTGCGTACTGCTGAATAGTCCAAAACCAGGACGAAACGGCTGTCCAGTACTCTAACCGATGTCAGCTCATGATGAAGTCCTGTAACCAATAAATCAAATCCTTACTAACCAATACTTGAATATCGAATCTTACTCTTGATTTATAGTAACATGGTGTATTAGCTTAAAATGACTAATAGATTTGTATCATTTTCTTAGCTGTGTTATCGTAGTGTAACATTAGAAGTGAATTGTACTCTATACAGACGAAAATTGACCATAGCCAGGCAGATTTGTTTTACTGCATCAAAGTCAGGCATTACCGTCATTTGCAGTTGCATGATGCTCTGTACCTGTAAGTTGATTAAGATGAATAAGACTACTGGACAGAAATTACATTATAAAACTAAATATCCAAGCTTAAAATTAAACCAAGATGGGAGAAAAGTTTTTGCTTTGAAGATGAGTGACATTTTATGAACAAAGTGAAGTATATGTTTAGTTTTTAGCTGTTTAAAAGTAGAGATCATTAGTAGAAAACTATGAAGTTGTATTTGACTAATTCTTTATACATAAACAATTCGAATAATGGTCTTAATGGTGTACGACCTCGCCTTGTAACCAGGCAGTTCCTGGGTTCGAACCCTATTGGTGGGTACGTACTGATGACGAGTCCCAAACTAGGACGAAACAGTTGTACAGCACTCCCAGCTGGTTTTCCAATGGTTCTCTAACTTATGCTAGCTCATGATAAAATCTTCCAACCAATCAAACTAAATCCCTGCAAAACCAATACTTGAAATGTCGAATAGTGTAACGGGTCTTCCCCATTTCATCGATTCATTCACCTTGCTTATCTAACTTTATATATATATATTATATGTCTAATGTTGATATTTCTTTATGCAGTTGAAATCTATAAACCACACTCTTAGAATATAACAACTAATCATATCAACAAAGGGTGATTATGCAAGTCAAGAGAAGAATATATTTAGCTATGCGGTACGCAGTGAATTTTTATGCCGAAGGAAACGGCGGCCTGTTTAAAACTTAGGCTACCGAGAACCTTCATCAATATACTGAATATAATTCCTCTGATTCAATGTGTTTAAATCTAGTTAAACATATGACCTCTAACAATATTTATTATTTACTTTGACGAGTATTTAAATCATTTACAACCTGCTGATTCGTAAGTTTCCACTAAACTTGAGAAAAAGCATAATCCAGCTGGATGGCAGCTTATCCCAGTACATGAGATAACTGTTCATGAGTTGTGCCCTCGGTTCAAAAAATGTACTCCTGAACTTCTTATTATTAGCATTCAAACAAAATGTCTTGCATCTCTCGAAGGAGACAAAGAAGACAGATCATAATGGATTGGTTTGTGCTTCAGGTCAGATATCACTGTGTCACACGATCTACTGTCAATTAATATTTTATTTGAAGATCACAGGCGAGTAGAAAATATCACGCACTGAACTCCGCTGAAAGCTTTGTACATTATATGAACACTGTTCAGAATAAAGCTGCTGTTAGATAGTTGTAGGCAATCGGTAGGAAGCCTTGGACCTAGGTTTCGTGCTAGTTGGCACTCACCAGTCAGCAAGGTGTATCTGCAACCTTGAAGGAACTGATGTCCCTTCTGAGATTCGAAACCGAGTCACCCAGTGCTGCAGTCAGAGACGTTACCACTGAGCTATTCGGGCTCGCGATTGCAGATACACCTTGCTGATGAGTGCCAACTAGCACGAAACCTAGGTCCAAGGCTTCCTGCCGAGTGCTTCCAACTATCTAATATCATCAAATCAATGTGTACCGTGATGGCGAGCTACGTAGAACGGTGGCCACATTGCAAATACCTGACTGATAGAATTCAGCCTATATCAAAGAAAGGACTAGACACGTCACACTAGTTACTGGTGTCCAATCAAAACGCTATTATTATTATTGCGAAAATATTCATTCAGACATCTATAAAAAAACAAAATAATCGAGCAAAGAATATCCTTTTCGATAATTTCCTCTTATGGCTCTACAATTATATATATCTTTATATACATAGAATATTCTAGAATAGTAGTCAATAACAATATTAGTGTTTTTTAAGTAATATCGATTTGTTAAGTAAGATCAATGGAATTACAGTTCATTAAAGATGCTTAAATTATAATAATAATAATAAAAATATAATAGCAAATAGAATATCAAATAAAATTAAGGAAATTTCCACAACAAATTGAGGATCATTCGAACCTAGATGGCCAAGGTAAGGACAATGTCTGAACTAGCTTCTTTTGGACACATAAATTAGGCTTCTTAATGTGGATCCCAACAGCCAGCCTCAGCAATATTTAGTAAACGAACTCTTAAGGCGAAGTTAAGATTTGTTGGTATGCGGTAAATGACTCTGAAAGCCTCGTTGACATCAATCTTGTGTTCTGTATCCACAAGATGGGATAGAATAGCGATATGAATAGATTTTGTTTGTCCTTTACTTAACCACGCTGGGTGATGTTCGGAAATCCGACGAGAAACACGCCTAATTGTACGGCCTATGTAACTAGCTCCACAGGAACAGTTAAATTGGTAGATACACATGGAAGAGGAGAAATTAGGCAGTTTATCTTTTACTCCCGAACGCAAAATAGGGGTAGTTTTGAAGACACAGCGTAATTCAGCAGCAGCAGGGAATGCTCTTTTTACCGCATTCCTAAGGCGTTGTGTTAGTATCTCGCTAATGTTATCCCCGAGGAACTGAATTTGTAAGAATAGGGCCTTTTATTGTTATTATAACATGCTTGTTGTAACGAAAGAAAAACAAAAACATAAACGCATGCATACGTGCATGCATATTTAAGTGTTATACTTACGCCTTTATCTTCATCAAAGTATTCCGAGAAACGACATACAGTACGCAATAGACAATGATTAGTTTTTTTGTCTAAATAAAAGCCTGTTTGACATGCATTACAGTGTGAGATATCTAGAAAGATATAAAAAGAAAAACAAGAAAGGAAAATAGGTTTAAATAATTAAATTATTGAAAATAGGATGTAATGTGCTGAAATATTTATGACCAAGTAACAAAGCTAAAAGAACAATAAGCAATTTCATGAAAGTCACTGTTTGAGTTAAATATTAACTGATAGCTGTTGCATAAACAGGCCGCTCTCGTGGCTCAAGCGGTCTAGTGGATAACGCTCTAGCGTTTGAAATGATGAGTGCTGGGTTCGCGACTCAGTGGGAACAGTATGACTCACTCCATGGGGAATGCAGTCACATCCAGATGACGAGTCCCAAGTAGGGCGAAGTGCGCATTCTTGATTCGACCACTAGTCACCATACACCAAATTAGTTTCGTACTGTATGTTTTTGCGGAAATCCCGGTGGATACGTACTGCTGGAGAGTACCCCAGGTTTTTTCTAATGGTTCTCTAACCGACGTCACCTCATGATGAAATCCTTCAAAAAAAAATTAATAATAGCAGCTTCGTTCTGAACAGCCTACTTTTATAGACTACAGAGTTTTTAGCTTGGTTTTATCTATTCCTTCTACAGAATTCTCAAGTAAATCAGTAATTCACAGTATATTATACGACTTTAATTTGTTCTATATACAAAATGCTCCAACTGCTGACGTATTTGTCCCTTCAAAACAAACCAAAAGGTATATTTTTTACGAGTTGATCACGGACTGATATCAGTTAGAGAACCATTGAAAACCAAGGAGTACTGGACAGCTGCTGTTTCATCCTAGTTTTGGGAATCATCGGCAGTACGCACCCACTGGGATTCGAACCCAGGACCTTCCGGTTACAAGGCAAGCTCGTATACCATTCAGCCACTGGGACCCGATTCAATGGCTCATGAATTCTAACTTCTACCAATTCGTGATTTTAGCGCGACCCCAACTATTGTCGTTGGTGGAAATCCATCCACACGTGACTTCTAATTGGACCTCACTGGTCACGACTTCTCACTAGAACTGCAGGAAGCTCCAACCTGTAGCAAGTCACTAGCGAGCATCAGAATAATTATCTATAGTTTGGTTTGTAAGGATTAGTTATGTTTTACGAGTTGATCACGGACTGATATCAGATGCTCGCTAGTGACTTGCTACAGGTTGGAGCTTCCTGCAGTTCTAGTGAGAAGTCGTGACCAGTGAGGTCCAATTAGAAGTCACGTGTGGATGGATTTCCACCAACGACAATAGTTGGGGTCGCGCTAAAATCACGAATTGGTAGAAGTTAGAATTCATGAGCCATTGAATCGGGTCCCAGTGGCTGAATGGTATACGAGCTTGCCTTGTAACCGGAAGGTCCTGGGTTCGAATCCCAGTGGGTGCGTACTGCCGATGATTCCCAAAACTAGGATGAAACAGCAGCTGTCCAGTACTCCTTGGTTTTCAATGGTTCTCTAACTGATATCAGTCCGTGATCAACTCGTAAAACATAACTAATCCTTACAAACCAAACTATAGATAAAAGGTATATTGAAATTCCATATTAGTTTGTTTATTAGATATATCACACAGTGAAAAAGTATTATTTACTGGATGACAGCGTTTCGAACACAATTTATTACTGTTCATAATCATATCAATTGTAATCACACGACTTTGACACTTGAGTTTTATAGTTTTCTTTGTTCTCTCCTATTTGTCGTAGGGGTAGTAGAATTTCCCAGATATCGGGGACAGGTGATGAATCATTCCTATTACATATATTTGCAGTTGATTCGATAAACAAAGCTTCTGTTATCAATCTCTCCCTATACCCTGTGACATTAGATTTTAAAACTGTCATCCTATTCCATCCATCCTATTGTATGGTTGTGTGTAACTGCATGTAGTGCTATAGCTGAACTATTCTCTAGATTTCTTATCTTATTTGGATCAACCAATCTAGATTTTGCTAAGTTATTATGTTCAGCTAGTCTGACTGCCCCTGTTCTACTACTTTAACCTATGTATTTGACCTGACAATCATCGCAGGCAGGGTATTAGATAAACTAAATTGTTTTGTTTTAAAGGCTCTACAGGATCCTTTAACCGACAAAGCTTGTTTCTAATTGAGTTTGTGGGTTTGAATGCCGTTTTTATTCCTGCCTTGTTAAGAATTCTGCGTAAGGTTTCGGAGGTTCCTCCCTTGTATGGAATTACTACTGATGATTTAGATTCCTTATTGTTGGTGTCGTCGTTATTATTATTATTATTATTATTATTATTATCACTGCTATCATTATCATTATTATTGTTATTATCACTATCGCTACTATCATTATTTATTTTATTTTTACATTTCCTTACATATTTGCTGACTAGTTTATCCGGGCAACTATTAAGTTTCAGGGCTTCTTTTATGTGTATCAGTTCCTGTTTAAGATTCTCCTTTGATATGATTATGAACAATAAATTTTGTTCGAAACTGTGTCATCCAGTAAATAATGCTGTTTCACTGTGTGATATATCTAATAAACAAACTAATATGGAATTACTTACTACCACAGTGCCCAAGTTTTACACATATATTATGTTGAAAGGTATTCAAAAATGCACGTGAGTATAGATCGCTGTTCAAGAACGTAAACAGCTGGTTAAAACAAAGTATAACTAAATAAATTTGACTTTTTGTGCTCTTTGGAATATTAAGTGGCCCAATGATGATTTAAGCAGGCCACCGTAACATAATAAATTCTATCGATTTAATTGCATACAGCTGAATAGGTGAAATAAGACTTGAATTAGTGAACCATTAATTAAGTAATATTCACTAGTCAATACTTTAATTAGGCGTCGGTGGCATAGCGGTTAGGACGCTCGCCGACCATGCACATGGTCCGAGGTTCGATCCCCGGCCTACGCACTCCTTTACCTCACTAAGCCAGAAATAAAGCTGGTGAAGAGGAAAGGTTGGGCATGAGGCTAGCAACCCCATCCTGTAAAATAAAGACTGCTGCAGAAACTTCAAGCCACTAGCTTGAAGCCCTATGTTCCACTGGGGAACGTGAAGGAAAAAAAATACTTTAATATTGTTTAAATGTTATATACTGATTTTTCATTCTTCTTTATAATAGAATCCAGGAGTTAATAGGGTATTTTAGATGGATTTGCACTGAAGTGCATCTGCATTACACAGAATCATATCAGTTAGATAATTAGTCAAAAAGGAGACGGTTTTTTTCGTTTTTCACTCTCACTCTATTTCAAGTATGATATCCCACTTTCTCCCTAACAGCTATACAATCATTAGTCTGGAATTAACACTCAAAGCTTCAATACTTCATGTGGCGGTTTACTAATATTATGCAGATGTTAGACTGAAAGTGGGATACAATTGAAATTAAGAAACTAATCATTTCGACTTATCATTCTTTATGGCTGTGACATATAGCCATCAAAACTGGAAGACTTGAAGAGGCTAGCCGGTCTTTAACCACAAAGGTTTAGGCTCTACGTCTCAGTTATTATTATTCCCTTGGGTTCCAAGGGACACATAGGGCTTCAACAGAACACTTTTATTTTGTCCTGTTCTCTACAGTCCTCTTCAACTGGCTTCAAGATGGCCCCTAAACTTCTCTCTCCTCCTCACACGATTTCCTCCATGTCACCCTCGGACACACACCCAACTCGTCGTTCCCCACTAGGGTTTGACTCGACGGGCTGGCATGAGATGTCACCCAACGGTCTCTTCAGTATGTGTCCGATCCATCTCCATTTACTTATACATATTTGTTGAGCAATAGGTTATTGGTTGGTTCATTCCCAGATTTTCTTGTTGCTAATTCACTCTTGTCCGCCATCCGGTCTTCAGCATGGAGCCAATGAAACCAGGTGTCGATAAAAGTCTGTAGCGGCCTTTTGGAAATGTTTTTCCTGATATGCCACGTTTCTGACCATATATAGAGGAACTGGCTGACTTAAAATCGGTGTTGGAAAGCTGAAACTTGTCCTTTATGATGCGAAGCGCAGGAGATTTTCTAACTGATTTCAGAGTAATGAAAGTCTGTCTTGCCTTTGCGATTCTGGTTTTCAAATTTTCATCCGTGCTGTTGCCTAGATAAATGAAAGAGGTAACCTCTTCACTTGAAGTCATATCTTTGTTGCTTCTTCTGTCAACTTGTTGGTTTGTGCCTATAAGTCTTCAAATTTATGTGACAACTAGACACAAATCCGCGAAGTCCAGATTTTCTAGAGTTCTACTGTCAGTTCAACATATTCCAGTCTTATGTCCAATGTTAAGTGGTGTAATATGGTGAGTGATAATGAAGATATAGTGTGGAAGTCAATTCATGAGGTTGAGAAGCTGAATTGATTGAAATAGCTAGGACGAGTGTTATGCATACCAAGCCACCACCTTCTTCAACCAGCAATGTAAGCTAATATACGATTAGGTTAAAGAAGAGTTATAGGTGGCCACATCAAAACACGAAATCAATCCATGACTGTTGATTTGAGACACATAGGAAGGCGTAGATTGACTGGCTCCGATGGGGTCCTCAAAACAATAAGAACCAATGGTTTGAGACTACTGGATATATGAACTCTTAGATCCCGACATAATTATCCTTTCTTCCACACATTTCTATCCATTATACTTCTTTCTGAATATTTTTTGCCACTACCTTTGTGTGATATATGGAGTGTGGTTAGTTGAACTGTCGCACTTTGGTGCCTTGGTACATTGAAAACTCAGTCAGTTGGTAAGAGGCTCTATAACCGAAGACTTATCGTACACACAGCTGACAATCTCCTACTTAAGTTAAACTACCCTCAACATTTTTATCGTATTGTTTACTCAATTAGATGTGCAGTCTTTGTTCGAATCAAATAGTATTCAGTAGGCGAACATATAAACAAGTGAACCAAAAAATACTCGCCAATGACAGTGGTTGGTGGTCGCACTACAATCAAGAATTAGTAGAAGCTAGAATTCATCGGCCATTGATAGTGACTGAATGGTCTACGAGATCACCTTATAACCA